CTAACACAGCCCCGGGGAAGAGATGGGGGAGGCCCGCCGGTGTCCGCCCGCGGATAGCATGGGATGGGTTTCCGGCGGGCCCCCCATCTCTGCGCCGGGAGTGTCCAATGATCACATTGGTATCTGGCAGCCGGCGGGCCCCCTCATCTCTGCGCCGGGAATATCCATCAGACACTTCAGGGGGCAGCCCTGGGCCTTGGCCATGATGATCCAGCCAACAGCCGCCTGAGTACACGGGCGCGCTGTCTGAGATGGACACACACACACTGGTGTGTTTTTCTGCAGCCTCCCCCACCAGAAAACAGCCAGAAGAGGTGAAAGTTATTAAATAAAATCATTATTTTTTTGTAGCCCAACTGATGGACATGCTGTATAAAGTACAGCTAGTATTTGTAGTGCTACATAGCAGGTCCCATTCTGCATCGGAATTTCTCCAACTTTTTTTGTGGTTGCTAAAAGGGATGTGGGTTGGGGTGTTTGTGTTTTTTTTTGGGGGGGGGAGGCAAAAAAAAAAAACTTGCACCAGGGACCTTTGTTCCCTAGGTCCGCCACTGCCTGGATCACACAGTGCTGCAAATCAAACACTGAAATCAATGAAGTCATCATTGTGCTACTTCTCCTCCATTGTCCATTCACAGGCTAGGGCAAGTCAATTGCGGTGTAGTGCACAGAGAGGTCTCTGAGAGTATAGTACCTCGTTATGCTGTGTGGCCAGGTGCTTGGATCACAAGACTGGCTGATAAGAATTACAAATCTTTCAGCGGGTAAAACAGTTACCATATATGTGTTTTATTGTGTAATTATCTGTTGCCATGGAGTTTAGGTTTAAAGAAGTATGGGAAAAGTAAAATGTACTCTTCCCAATACTTAGAGCTGGCGTGTGACACTGTAGCTGTCACAAGGCAGCTCTATAGTTTGAGAACTGAGCGATCACAAACCACTGATCACTTAGCTCATGGTCTTCTCCATGCAGAGAGCGGTGACTGTCAGGGATTATCTCTCCCCTCTCTATTCCTCCAGCGTTCACTGGAGGGTCAGATGGGAGAAGGGGCAGGCACAACTGGCTCAGGCTCTAAAGAGAAAGAGCCAGCTGTTAATCAAGCAGCAGGGTGTATCCTGACAATATTGTTGGGATCCTTCCCAGCTGCAGCGCAGCTCTGCTCTGTCAGAATAAAGGGCTCAGTAGCCGACTAGATGTTGACTTTGGGTCACAGGAGTTCACAGTAGTAAGTGAACTCCTGTGACCCAAAACAGAACTAAATGCCAAAATAAGGTTTAAGTGACACTAAACTTACAAATGCATTAAACTACCCTAGTAACAAAAATGTACCTTATTTGTGTATCACTCAGCTGTACATTAGATCCTCAAATCATCTCTGAACTCATGCTGACAAAGTCCTTCCTTCTGGAGGTGGCTACTTTTGTTCCCCATGGTCCCTGTATGTATTGTAAAGTAGCGACCACTCCAAGCTCACTCCCGTGATGGACTACAATCTGATGTTTAGTTTACTAATTTGCACTTATATATATCACGGGAGTGAGCTTGGAGAGGTGGCTACTTTACAACACTTTCTAGTTATTCATTATTATGAGGATGAAAAAAAATAAAAATATTATTTTTTTCCTATCAGGTAAATATGGAATATTGTATATTATTAGTTAACTTACGTATTTTAAACCAGCAGGTAGAGTTTCATCACTACAGATGAGACAGATTTTCACTCTAAATAGATGCATAATTAGGAAATGGTCAGAGCAGGTAAAGGAGGAATTTATAATTCTAGCTGCAACCTTACTGTGTGACAGAATTCGTAAACGTCCCCCAAAGAATATGTGTATATATATACAGTATATATATATATATATATATATACACACACACACACACACACATACTGTATCAGCAGTAGTTAGAATTATTTTTTGGTTTGTTTATTTTATATGTACTTAAACACTTCTGACATCTACTTTTGTTTGTCTTCTTCTTGGTTTTGGCTCAGCTAGAAGAATCAGCAAACCCAGAAGAGATATTTTACCATATCTCAGAAGCAGCAGTCATGCATGTACAAATGTTGGTGGAATTTACAAAAAAATTACCAGGTATGTTAACTTATGGGATACAGGTGCCATTGTTCTTGGTTGACAAATTTATTGGGATGCATATAACTGCATGCTGTTACTCTGCTCTCAATTTCTCTGGTACCTAATGATTTGTTTTTTATTTAATTTTCTAAATATTCATTATTTGTCAAAATGATATTCAAAGTGCAAAGTCAAAATAAAGTTATTTGGCAAATATTTCCCCCAAATGTATTCTCAGAACATCCAGAATACTCAGATCAAAGTAAAACAGTATCAGGGTGAACAGAACAACCCCTTAAGAGATGGATTAAGTCTATTTAGGAATTCACTTAAAAATAAGGCTCCCAAGAATGCCAATGAGTGTCAAAAAGAGCACTCCAATTACAAATGAAACATTTTTTTTTAATGGATTTTGTGCTGTAGACTTTTACAAACTGGAAAATGTTAGCCATAATAAAGGTCAACACACTTTCCAAATTCCTCCACTGCAAATTCAATTAATGGACCATAAACTCAATAAATTATTCAACAGTTTGGGTCCGCATTCAGTCTACTTTTTGAAATTGTTAAGGGCTGCTGTAGATGAGTAAGAGGGCCATAGAACAGAAGACTGATATGACTAGCCTAAAAGGTGGTTTATAAAAGGAGCTAGCCTATTCATAGACAGACAGATGACTCCCTAAGGAAAATGGTTGGAGACACATATACCACTCATTTGTAGCTCTGCGACCTGCCCCTGCTTACTACTCAACCTGCTCAATAGATTGAAGTGATGTGCAGTGATGGTTAACAGTTACTTCTACTTACAGAGAAGAGGGAAAGATCAGACATGTCACAGGGATTTTTGTATTGTAATTTTCCAACAAGCTGGAAAATCTCCATGAGTAATACGTTCTTCTAACATCATACGTGCCAGTTACCTAGGGATAACCTAATGACCAGATCTTCAACTAAGTTTTGCATTGGGTCATCTGATTGTGGTCAGCCTTCTGAAAGTGTAATGTAGGCGATTAGCTTTTTGTCTGCTACATATATTTTCTTCTGCACTGAGCAAATAAAGCACAGTGTTTAGCTGGTCACATGGGCCATTCAATGGGTGCCTTGCTTCTTGCTTTTAAGCATAGAGATATTGTCACGTACCGTGGTGCGAGCCAGAAGTGACTAGGAGGACCACCCTTGCAACTCCGTCTGCGGACCTCTGGAGGTGCAACAGGGGGGCACAGGCAGGAGCAGCACGGGTGCTAGATGTAGAACCTCAGGTAGCCAGCCAGAAATGGAGCTCCACTGGGACGGCAGGTAGACAAGTGAAGATCCACAGAGTAGTCTGGAAACAAGCCGGGTCCGGAACCAGAGGGCAAGCGGTACTGAAGCAGGATCCAAAATAGTAGTCCAGGGCAGGCCGGATCAGGAACCAGAGGGCAGCATAAGCAGAATCAGAATCCAGGGGGAGTGGTCAGGAACAAGCCGGGTCAAATACACTAATGAACACAGGATGCAGATCAGAGCTGGTGAAGACGGTTGCGGAACCAACTTGGTGAAGACTGTTGCGGAACGGAGGCGCTGGAACAGTTCTGGAATCAGTGGAAGGGGGTAGCGGTTCTTGATGGTGATGAGGTTAAGCTCACGGTAGTCCACGCAGGGCCGGAGGGTGTGCTCTACGAAAAAGATTCCGGCTCCGGCTGGTGAAGTGGACGGACGGATAAAGCCTTTACTTAGATTATCCTCAATGTACTCCTTAAGGGTTCCCAACTCTGGTTCAGATAGCGGATATATGCGCCCAAAGGGGATGGCCGCCCCGTATAGCAAGTCGATGGGGCAATCATATGCCTGATGCGGAGGTAGAGTGTCCGCATTCCTCTTGTCAAAAACATCAAGGAAGTCGTGGTAAGCCGTGGGGATCCCGACGTAGTGCGAGGTCCCGGACTTGTTGGCAGAGGGACAGGTTCTGGACAGCAGCGGGCCGTGAACAGTTCCGCGTGCAATAGGGGGAACGGAAGGAGATTACCCCAGTGCTCCAATCAATCTGTGTGTTGTGATCCTGGAGCCACGGCATTCCCAGTATGACAGGGGACAAGGGTGAAGCTATGATATCCAAGCGGAGTAGTTCATGGTGCCCTGGCATGACCTTGGCGGGGATCGGGATGGTTTCCTGGGTAACTGGTCTGGTCTTGAGGGCAGTGCCATCTGCCAGAAAAATTAGGAGTTAGTGGAGTTTAGGTTGCAGGGGGATGTGATGCAGAAGAGCGAATTGGCGATCCATAAAACAACTGCAGGCACCGGAATCAAGGATGGCCGAGATCTGGAGGACCTTCTCTGGCAGTTGTAATGAGATAGGGACAATAAGGTGAGAGATGAGGTGTCCGGCCCTGGCCTCAGAAGCAGGTTAGTCTGTTGCCACTTACGGTTCTTGATGGGGCAGGTGCGTACGTAATGCCCAGAAACCCTGCGATAGAGTCAAAGATCCAGGTGGCGGCGTCGCTCCCTCTCCCCCGGGGTCAATGGTGGCCGCAACCAGCCAATCTGCATGGGTTTGGGTGGCTCTTGGACTCCCGTGGGAGGAACGGGTCGGGACATCGGGTTCCCAACCGGAAGAAAATTCGGGGCCCGGGGCAACATCCAGGTTGGTCGGGAGTAACCAGTTCGTTCCAGTCTTCGTTCCCTCAGGCATCTATCAATCTGGGTGGCCAGGTGGATTAATTAATCCAAGGAATCTGGCACCCCTACACGGGCTAACTCGTTCTTAAGGGAATCTGACAGTCCCAGCCTAAACTGACAGCGGAGTGCCGCATCGTTCCACTCCGTGTCGGAGCTCCATCTTTTAAACTACGCCACGTAGTCCTCAACGGGCCGCCGGCCTGCAGTGGAAGTCCGATGGGGAACGTCATATAAGAGAGCCATGGCGTCCAGAAACCCTCACGAGAATTCAAGGATTGGATCGTCCCGTTCCAGGAGACGGCGGGCCCAGGCCTGGGGTTCACTAGACAAAAGCGAAATGATGAACCCCACCTTGGTCTGTTCCGTCACAAAGGTGCGTGGCTGCAGCAGAAAGTAGAGTTGACAGGCATGCCAAAATGCACGAAACTTGCTGCGATCACCGGTGTATTTCTCGGGTGCTGGTACCTGGGGTTCGGGCGTGGGTCCCATGGCAACGGCCGCAGGTGGTGCGGGGTCGTCAGGGGGCGGTGGAGGAGGTGCCGGATTTGGGGCCACTCCGGCATCCACTCACCACAATACAGTAACCCTGTAAAAGACACAATATATTTACCTTTGCAGAGAATTTTGCAGAGACCTTTCCTTTGTTAAATCCCTCTGCTTTGCTTCTCTCTAGCCACTGTCAGTATTCAACCCTTCTGGGTGGGCCAAAAACCTGTTCCCCGCCATATGCTGTTCTTCCCTTTGGCTCGTACATCCTGTAGTGACATACAAGCCCACAAGAGGAACTACAGTGTGTGGCAGGGGGCGGGCATTCTAAAGACCCAAAGTGTAGAACACCTGCTGAAGAGAAGCAAATGGTCAGTGTTTCAAGACGAGGGAAGCTGAAAAGATAAATATATTGCCTCTTCCCATTGTGAACAAGTGACTCTGTGGTGACAGGGTCACTTTAAACATGCATTATACACAATATTACAATGCAGCATACAGTTTGTCAGATGTTTTGACAGTCTGATGTATCTGGACATTCTTTTCTTGCAGGTTTTGAGTTGCTGGACCATGATGATCAGATTGCTCTTCTAAAGGGTTCCACAGTTGAAGCAACCTTTTTACGCTCAGCACAAATATATAATCAGCAAGTTTCTGGAGGTTTACTAACACATAATGATGGTACGTAATTTAATGGGAATTATACAACAGGAGTTTTATGCGGCTCCAAATGTCCTACCATTTTTGCATTTTTAAAAAATTATTTATGTATAACTGCCACAACAGAAGTACAGGAATTCAGTAACATTATCAGCATGAAAATATAAGGCTGCACTTGCAGGATACACAGTTAGAGGGCAGGAGAGCATTAAGGTAAGTATCAATCTCAGCACAGAAAAGTAAAACATACCACTCGATTCCATCCACACATACTGTATATTTCCTAACCGGCATGAGTTACACCTTACAAAACCTTTCAAGTGTTCAATTGCAATCAGCATCAGATCACTGTTCTTATTCTTATTTGTCTATCCAGTTTAGGTCATTTTCAATCCCAGGTTCTAATTTTTTTTAAAATATGTATATATAAGCCTGGGTTCCTGGTTTCTGATGAAGATTTACATTAAAATGTACCTTCTGTTGTAGCATGCCCACAGTTGTATGTCCAGTCTCTGACTGTTTTTTAGCATTACATATACTAACAATTATGTGCGGCCCAATGGTGATGTCAGGGGCCACACTTAAGAAGCCCTATGCCAAGTAAGCTGACCACAAATGCCCGAGGTGGAAATTATTGTTACATAGTTAGCCAGGTTGAAAAAAACCATAGAGAAAAACCTAAAACAGATTGCTATACCCACAGTTACCCACTGTTGAAGCAGAGGAAGGCAAAAAAAAAAAACCCTATTGGGAATAGTTGAATTTGCTCCAACGGGGAAAACAATTCCTTCCTGATCCCATAAGGCAATCGGATATTTGCTGGATCAACAATCTCTGGTGCTTAATATACCTATAAGAACTCAATATCCAGTAATATTCTGTGTATTTAGGAATACAGATTGTTTTAAAAACAGTTAACTGAACTAGCTAGAACTAGCTCCTGGGGGAGTCTATTCCACATTTTCACAGCTCTAACTGTGAAGAATCCTTTCTGTATGCAAAGGTTAAGTCTCTTTTCCTCCAGATGCAAAGAGTGCCCCCTTGTCCTTTGCAGTGACCTTAAAGTGAATAATTTGGCACCAAGTTCACTATATGGACCATTTATGTATTTATACATGATGATCATGCCCCCCCTTTATCGCCTCTTCTTCAAAGAGAACAAATTCAGGTCAGCTAATCTTTCCTCATAGCAGAGTACCTCCATGCCTTCTATGAGTTTAGTTGCCCCTCTGACCTTTCTCTAGTTCCACAACATCCTTTTTGTAAACTGGTGCCCAAAACTGAACTGCATATTCAAGATGAGGTCCTACTAATGCTTTGTACAGGGGCAGGATTATGTCTCTATCTCTGGAGTCTATACCTCTTTTAATGCAAGAAAGTATTTTGCTTGCTTTAGAAACTGCTGCTTGACATTGCATGCTATTATTGAGTCTATGATCTACCAGAACACCCAGATCTTTCTCCATCATTGACTCCCCCAAACATACTCCCCTAGAGTGTATGACGCAAGCATGTTTTTAGTCCCCAAGTGCAGAACTTTACATTTATCAAAATTAAACCTCATTTGCCAAATAGATGCCCAATCACAAAGTGCATTCAGATCTGCTTGTAAGTTGGAGACATCCTGTAAGGACTGTATTCCACTACATAACTTGGTGTCATCTGCAAACAGAGAAATAGTATTTTTAATCCCCAACTCTATATCATTTATAAACAGTAAGGGGCCCAACACTGAACCTTGGGGGACACCAATAACAACCTCAGACCATTCAGAGTATGCATCATTGATCACCACAAATAGTTTTCTATCCAATTATAGATGGAATGCTCTATACCTACTGACCTTAACTTATACATTAGCCGCCTGTGGGGAACAGTATCAAATGCTTTTGCAAAGTCCAAGTATACGATATCCACAGACATTCCTCTGTCCAATTTATTACTCACTCAAAGGAACATTCCGGTTTTTAGATATGATGTGATTTCAGGCAATGATCTATGTACCAAGATATAGGTGAGATATTCTCAAAGGATAGTATCTGTCAAACTAACATAACTTTGAAGCCAATGAGTCCTTTACATGTGATAATTTATAAAGAAACTTTATGAAGATTGACCAGATGTTCTTATATTGTCTCAAACACAAATAGACTATATACCTATTTTCCCCAAATAAATATATATTCATAATAAATATCTACATACACATTTTGATAATGATATAACAGTAATAGTACAGCAGCTTGGTAGTGCAAGCCCAGTACCCAACAATGCTGGGTAACTGTCCAACCTATGTTGTATTAGCAACAGACCCTGAAACTGAAACATGTAAAATAAAGGAAAATGCATATGGTCAATCTTTTAGAACATTGCACGGACAAAAAAGTAACAAGCGCACTACCCAAGGGTACAAGTTAGGCTGGAAAAAGTAATCTTACAACAAGGCTGTGGAAACAGTGTGCGAGCTCTTAGAAACAGTGAGAGGAACCCTGTGGTAGCAAAAAACAGACAATGTGTGTGTTAAGAGCGCTACTACTGTTTGAGTACAATTAAACAATCATAAAGTGTAACAATAATGTCTCACACTTAGGATGACCAGAATGCAAAGTGGCTCACTTTTAAGGTGTCCTGGGGAACCCTGGAGATGGTCCAATGGAACACTTTGACAGATCTGGACAGGTGAAGCCCAGTGGTGTGGACGGCAGAGGACATATGTGCAGATGTCTGTCGCAAGGGAACTCAGCTGGCCGGGCTGAGCCGTTGCGGCCAAAGACACTGTAAAATTCTGTGCTGTGTGACAGTAGCTGTCTGGTGCCGTCTCTCTGTCAGAAGTCTCAGGGGATGGAGCGGCAAAGTCGTGGGGAACGGACTTCGGCTGGGACAGGAATAGGGGTGTTACACAGCAGTTGAGGGTGTCGGTATTGAAGAAAGAAAAGCGCTACGCGTTTCGAGGCAATGCCTCTTTGTCAAGCTCAGGTGAAAGTAGAAGGAACAGATTAGCGGGAAAACCGCGATTTTAAAAACTGACAGCTGGGCGGGGATAGCACTCGTAGCCTTGTCCTGATAGGAGTATGAGAGTGGGGGGGCGGGACAGGCATAGCCGACCGCCCATAAGAGTCTCGAGTAGCATATTGCTCTGAGCCGGCAGATCGTATCTCGCTAGTAATCCAATAACAGAAGGGTAAAATGAAAGGCAAACGAATTTAAAAATTAAACATTAAACACACTAAACGAATTTTATTAAAAAGGTTAGTTAGAAATGAGTGGGACCCATATTATTGATATCAATTTATTCAGAAAAGCTGTGTGAGAAGTAAAAAGAGGCTGATATTGGTGTCATTTTCCATATCAGATGCGAAACTAATATTAAAAAAACATTAAAAATAAAATACAATAAAATAATGTAAAAGTAAGCCAAGGGGTATTATTAATTTTGTTGGCTTATAGAATGGTGTGAATTTCTATATCCTCCACACCAATTAATTGTGCTTACTCTAAGACAACATTGTTTTATAGTGTTGGAACTTCTTGCAGAACCTCACAGAGAAACACAAGCACACAGTCAGATATGCATGCTGCGCATGGATGGAAAACAGGAAGGAAGCCACAGCTTTATTCCCTACCTTATTCAATACAACAGAGTATCTACCATAGATATATAACAGAACTTATAAACACTGCCATCTAGTGACTGAAATTGTATACTGCAGAAGTTGTTGCTATAAACACAGTAATGTGTATTCTAACATATAGGTATTTGACTTTAAAATTTTGTGGTTTAGTTATAAAGTTTTGTGCTAAAATGGCATGTCTAGTTGATTAATCAGGGCCAACGTAGGCCCACAGATTAGCTAAATTGACAGGGAATGCGTCTATATGCACAGGTGTTTTAAACATGAAAAATTAGGTCTTTGGTTTCCATGCATTTTATATTTTCTTCTAAAGCCAGTGGGAAAGGAAGAGAGTTTGCAGTGACTGCATTTGTTCCCATTACTAAACAGCAGCTTCCAACCTACCCTAAAAATAATACTTGTGCTGGGAGTGTTTCTTTGATAGACCTGACCATACGTTCTGCATCAAAGCCTTTAGTAAATCCATTTAACTCAAGACCATGCCACACAATGTTTTTGATTAGAAAAATATGAACACAGTGTTCTTCATTTTCATAACAAAGAAAATGTCTGTAGAATGTAACACATTTTGACCCATATGAGAGACTAATAAGTACAACTTTTCTTTCAGGGCTTGTCAGATACCAGAGCCATTCAACAGAATATTACCATATTCAGGATTTTGACAGAGGTGCTCTGTATTCTGTAGAAACACCTCCTCACCAAAATATTTCACAGTATAATCCAGGTTTGATAATTGTTATTTTGCTGTTGCTACTTGAAGAATCTAAAGTGTGTGTGGGTGTGTGTGGGTATGTCTGTGTGCGCACACGCAGGTATATCATTGGACATCATAAATAATGTTTTTTGATGATCTGTTTTGAAAGATTGCATCCTAAACCTAAAGAATAAGTGCACTTTAAGACAACGTGCTCTTAGTTATTTTACCCTTTTGCCGAGGCTGGAAATTAGGGTAGATGGCTCCATAAAAGTCTATGGGGTTGGAATGTGCAGGCATGGCCAAGACAGTTAGATTTGATAATGATAATTTCTAAACTCCAAACTTCCCAAAGGATAAGTTAAAACCATTTAGAAAAAGAGGACCTCTTAGCTGATATTAGCTTTAAATCGGTATGACATGCTTTTTATAACTACTGTATGCTCAACGATGTGACTCTGTCCTCCCCATTCTTCACCCCTTGTCTGGTCATTTTTATGACCTTGTGTGTATGTAGTTTTTGCTTAATGTTGAATTGCTGTAATCACTACTGCTCTAACCTAATGAAGAGAGTGAATTTCACATTAGTAAAATGAAAGCATCAGAATACAATATTTTCTTAGTAAAATAAAGATGATAAGTAATAAAAGTAAAATCAATGCTTTGCAATTAATATATTAAAGAGTTTATTTCCAGCCTAGATTTGGTAAATTGTGTCATAATGTTTTGTTTCTTTTCCAGATATCACAGATGAATTTATTACTCCATTGTTTAATTTCTTCAGAAGCATGGGTTCTCTTAACGTGACTGAAACTGAATATGCCTTACTTCTTGCAATAACAGTGTTCTTTTCAGGTGCGCAAACAATTTTCCTTTTTTTATTCAGAGCACAAAATAAATATCAAAACCATATCTATCTATGTATACAGAGGTGGACAAATTTGTTGGTATCCTACCACTGAAAAAGAAGAGTCAACCATTTTCTCTAGAGAAAATGATGGGATGCTTAACCTAATATTTTGCCGCACAATCTTTAAAGACAGTCACTGCAAATAAGCGATTTATGTAGCTCTCAATAAGACCTCTGTACCTGCACACAGGTAGATTGGCCCAATCCTCTTAAGCAAAGTGTCTCCGGTCTGATCTGAAGTGTGCCCTCTCTAAGCTGCAGGTTTCTGTTCTTTCCATAGACTTTTGATAGGATTCAGATCAGGGCTCAGAAGGCCACTTCAGTATAGTGCACTCTTTTGTTCTTGGTCATTATGGGTGCTTTTTGGCTGTGTGTTTTGGGTCATTATCTTATTGGAGAACCCCTGACCTGCAACTGAGACTGAGCTTTCTGATACTGGGCAGTATATTTCACTCCAGAATTTCTTGATTGTTTTGAAATTTAATTGTGCCCTGCATAGAATGAAAGCACCTCGTGCTAGATGCAGAGAAGCAGCCCCAAACATAACAGAGCCATGTTTTACAGTAGGTACAATGTTCTTTTCTTTGTGTTCATTTTCTTTGTCTGTGAACAAAGTGCTGATGTGGCTTGCCAAAAGCTCAATTTTTTTCTCAGCTGCCAATTCTCCCAGAAGCACAATGGCCTGTCAGTATGCATTTTAGCAATTTCCAGTCTAGCTTTTTTAATGGTGGAGTCTTCCCTCGGGCCCACTGTTGCTCAAAAATTGACAGATGGTGCGATCGGACAGGATGTACCTTGACTTTGGAGTTCAGCTTGTATCTCCTTAAAAGTCTTCCTTGGCTCTTTGTCTACCATTCACAATATCTTTTTTGTTCAAACTGGGGTTGATTTTCCTCTTGTGGCCCCTATTCAGGGAGGTTGGCTACCCTTTCTTAGACCTTAAACAAAAGGTGTTCTATCGGGTTGAGGTTTGGACTCTGTGCAGGCAGTTAAGTTCCTCCACCCCAAACTCGCTCATCCATGTCTTTACGGACCTTGTTTGTGCACTGGTGCGCAGTCATGTTGGAACAGGAAGGGACCATCCCCAAACTGTACCCACAAAGTTGGGAGCATAAAATTGTCCAAAATGTCTTGGTATGCTGATACCTTAAGAGTTCCCTTCACTGGAACTAAGGGGCCAAGCCCAAACCCTGAAAAACAAGTCCACACCATAATCCACCCTCCACCAAACTTTACACTTGGCACAATACAGTCAGGCAAGTACCGTTCTCCTGGCAACCCCCACACCCAGACACATCCATCGGATTGCCAGACAGAGAAGCCTGATTCGTCACTTCAGAGAACACGTCTCCACTTCTCTAGAGTCCTTTACACCACTGCATCCGACCCTTTGCATTGCACTTGGTGCTGTAAGGCTTGGATGCAGCTGCTCGGGCATGGAAACCCATTCCATGTAGCTCTCTATGCACTGTTGTGCTCCGGCTGAGTTGCTGTTGTTCCCAGTTGCTTCCACTTTGTTACAATACCGCTAACAGTTGACCGTGGTATATTTAGTAGCAAGGAAATTTCACGGATGGACTTATTGCACAGGTGCCAATCTATCACAGTAACACGCTTGAATTCACTGAGCTCCTGAGAGTAACCCATTTTTTTTACAAATGTTTGTAGAAGCAGTCTGCATGCCTAGGTGCTTGGTTTTATACACCTGTGGCCATGGAGGTGATTGGAACACCTGATTACAATGATTTGGAGGGGTTGTCACAATACTTTTGGCAATATAGTCTATTTGCAACTGTAGTCATAGGAACATCAAGTTGCTTATAAATGGTCTGATTGTCACAGTTCAGCTGCAGACTTGCAGCTGAGCTGTTACTTGTAGTTCTACCAGTATATATACAGGCCTCTTACCCCTGGTTCTGCAGGCATGTAGGGCTGTGCTGGTGCTTGTAGTCCGCCAGACATGTGCTCTAAACCTGACTCACACTTGCACCTGTCTGCAAGCTTTAGGCGTCGGCCGACCTCTCCTGCTGTTTCTTATGCAGCTTCTCGGCCAATCAGTGCAGTCTGCTTGTAGCCAATCCTGTGGATCCTCCCTCTTCCTGTCTCTATTTAAACCCAGGGCAGTGAACGGCACGCTGCCCGAGCAACGCTTTCCCAAGCTAGTTGCCGAGTCCCCCATTTGTGATTTACCCTGAATTCCTGGAAGTTTTCCTGTGTACCGAACCTTTGGCTTGTCCTTGGAAATTCCCGTCTACAGGCTGCCTGTGCTTCGCTTTTGTCCTTGGAAATCCCTGATTACAGTCTACCCTGTAATTCACTTGGTCCCTGGAAGTCTTTATCTTGTCCCTAACCTTTAATTTGTACCCTGTACCTGTTAGGTGAGTTGGGTGGACCTAGGGATTGTGACCTGGGGTCAGCACGCAGCCAAGCCCATCTCCACCATCAGGAGCTCTGGTGAATACCGTCTGGCTCTTAGATTCCACATCCTGGGGGACCCCATGCCACCTAATCAGCATTGCAACACCCTGCCTTGTATTTGAACTTCCAGCTTAAGCTGACTTCCACTGCCTCTTTCACATACCTGCTCTGTTCCCTGCTTGTACTCCAGCTCTGGGAGTCGTCAGCCTACACTGCTTGGACCCTTTTCTCTAAGTGTCCCTGCCAGTGTAGTGGAAAAGGGTCCACATACCTGACTCCAGTTTATACCTGTGAGTCCCAATCCATGACAGTTTGCTCGGGCCATGGACCCTGCTGACATTGCTTGCCAGAGACTTAAGCCCTACAGTTTCACAGGCTCTGAAAAAGTACTGACTATATAATGTCTCAGTTTCCTATACACAATGCATACGTCCATGTTGCAAGCATTCAGCCTGCTGGGACTTGGAGTCCTTCTGCTGTTTTTAAAATCTTTGTTCCTGGGGAAAGCTCCCCTAAGCAACACATCTTTGTTCCCCCACCTAGATTTGAAGATTTAAATCCCCACAATATCTCTTCATTTCTGCAAGCGTTTTTTAAGCTGTTGCATGAACCTTTCATCCTGCAGTCGCCCTTGGCAACCTGGTCACGTCAGGTTGTATATTAGCTGTTGGAAGGGGATCTGTATGAGTCCATGAATGAAATGCTTGATTACAACCACTCTATGTGTGAGAAACCTGCAAAACGTATTGAGTTCCTAGCCAGTGTTATGGGCCACTTGCTAATTCCCCCTCATTTCCTTTCAGATCTCTCAAACACTTTTCTAGCTATGAAGCAGGGCGCTCCCTATTCAAAGACCTTATCCCAGACCATTAAAGGAGAACTATGGGGTCAGTGTTTTTCCCCATAGTTCTGCTTGGGGTAACGGGAGGACACAAACTAGCGTCCTCCCGTTACCCTAAGCTCAGTATACCGCGAGCTACAGCTCGCGGTATACTGAGACGCCGCACCTGGAGCGGATCCCCACTTAGATGACGGGATCCGCCCAGCTGCGTGAGTGACAGCTGGCTCTGCCTATCTAGAGGCAGAGCCAGCTGTACCCGCCCCCTCCCCGTCCGTTCCGCCAGTCAGCGCTGGCAGATCGGAGCGGGGAGAGGGGAATCCAGCCCCTCCCCCTGTCACGGCAGAGAGCCGTGACAGGATCGAGAGGTGAGGGAACCCGGTATGTTTTCCCTCACCTCCCGATCTACTGAGCCGACCTGTGACAGTCTCATTGTCACAGGTCGGCTAAGAACTATGACGTGAGTGGAAATCACTCATGTCATAGTTCTCCTTTAAGCAGGTTACAAAGAATAAAATCCAGTCACGGTTTCCCACTGCAACAGCTCCTGTCTGCAATTTGTCTACACCTGTTCTCAATGCAGCCCAGCAAAGATCTTTGCTTCCCTTACCTAAATCTCAGTCAGAAGAAAAGGATCTTGATGAATGGACTGATTGTTCAGACGATGAAACAATGAAGAAATGGAGACTGAGGATTGGACCGACTGCTCTGAGGATGAGGCTGTAGATGACTGTTTTAACTACCTCAAGTCTGTTCCAATACCAGCTGCCCCAGTTCAGTCTCTTCCTGTGTCAGCTGTCTTCACTCAGGCTGCTCCAGTTCCTGCCCCAGTCCAGGCTGCTCCAGTTCCTGTCCCAGTCCAGGCTGCTCCAGTTCCTGCCCCAGTCCAGGCAGGCTGCTCCAGTTCTTGCCCCAGTC